ACCCGTGAGACCCCGCTAGGCCCCACCCCGGAGTGGCAGCCTGCAGCAAGTGCAGCGGGGCTGATGGCAACGACCGCACGAGACACACTGGCATGCCCAGGGGCAGCTCTGGCTCCATGTGGCTGAGCGCTGTGTTGTCCTGAGTGCGGGCACACAGGGCACTCCAAGACAGGACTGCTCTGCTGTCCCTCATCGAGGTAGACAAGCAAGCGGGGAACCCTGAGAACTGTCTGTCCAGGGTGGGGGTAGGGTCCCTTAAGCACGGAGCTCAGTTAGCCTCAGGCAGCAGCCCCACACACTAAGTCCTAACCTGATGCCCTGCCTGCACTGGTTCCGGCCAGCCTTAATTTTGGTTCAGAGTCCACTCAGTGTGGACACGCTATTTCAAAATCGTTTTTGTGTATAGATACGTTATTTCGAATTAGCTTATTTCAAATTAACTATTTCGAATTAAGTTAATTCGAAATAGTGCTGTAGTGTAGACATACCCTCACATCCCTACTAGGATGCATCTTGGACTAGTTGCTCCTTCTTGGAAGTCAAGCCTGAGAGCAGCACAGATGAATTGTCACAAACTCTTGGTCAGGGAGTTAATCTGAGCAATCGTGCTAGCAGGGACATTGGTGTAGCCAAGGGGCAGGGAGTGTCCCTGACAGCCAGTGGGAATTCTGTGTCCCTCAGAATCCTGGCAGAATGAGCCGCTCCATGGAGACCAGCAGCGCCAAAACTCACTAACTTAGAGGTGTGATTTTCTTTCACTGTTTTGCAGAAAAATGAATGGCTGTGTTTGAACTGCCAAACTCAGAGACTGCTAGAAGGAAGCCTAGGAGACCCTTCTCCGATGCCACTACCTGCTTCGAAGCCGCAGCCAACAGGATCCCCCCGACATCAAGCAGAGAGAGCTGGTCAGCAAAGAGGTGTCCTTCAGCCTATAACAGTTCATAAGTCAGAAACCTCTGCTCCCCAGGACAGGTACTTCGTCCAAGCAAAGCATCTCAGGACTTCAGAGCCGAGTAAGTTACAGGACGTGGTGCAAGAGAGCAAGCCTCCTGGTCCCTCAGAAGAAAAGCCACTGCCGAAACTTTCTGCTGAGGCTCCAAAAGTTCCTGAAAGTGCATCGCCAAAGGGCAAAAGCATGGCTGGGAAGCCAGAAGCAGAGAGCAAACCAAGCAAAGCAGTCATTGAGGCTCAACAAGTGAGAGAGCAGGAGGTAAGCAGCCCTTCCTCCTCACACCAGACTCCTACCTCCCACAGGGCTGGCCTATTCCTGCCAGGGTAGAACATTACCTCGTGCTTGGAGCAGGCAGAGCCGCCCTCTTACCTAGGGGAGTGGCCTGGGATGGCAGCTGTAGCGAACAGTTGGAGCAGCAGGGCGGGGAGGAAAGCACGCTGGGGAACAGAAAGAACATGGTAGCCTCAGAAAAACGGGGTTGGTCTTCAGTTCTGAGCTAGTAGAGAGCTGGAGAAAGCATGTATCAATGACTGCACTGGGGAAGTGATGTCCCACAGCCTGTCAGAAACCTGTCAGATACAATTCTGTCTAATGCTTTGATTCCAGTCCCAATTTCTCTGTCTGCCCTTTAGGAATCACTGCACAATCCATTCTAGTAGGCAGCATGCTCCTAACAGAGGGCCCAAACTCCAGGCAAGTCTGCAGTAGGCTGCAGAGAGAGGGAATGTCTCAGGGAAACATTGCAAGTTCTTTCCCCCTCATTCAGAGCGTTTCCTCAGTATAACCCACTGTACGTAGCTGGGCCTCTCTTGCTTTGCGCAGGTGCTGAGTTGTGGGGCCCAAGTTCTACAAATTAAAGTGTCTCTAGCAGCTGCAGCGTGGGGAGCTGAGTGATGGGCCAGAGTCAAGTCAGTACTGCACCAGGAGGGTACTATGGAGCATGTGGGGGAGTAAGTCCCTAGGAGCATTACACCCCCCAAGAGCCACGTGGAATTGGCTGCAGAGCTGTCTGGGTAGGACAACAGGTCTGTGTGGTCCTGAATGGGCTAAGGGGCGAGGCTCTCATTTCAGAGAGCAGAAGACTAGTCTGGCCACAGCCACCTCCTGGAGCAGGGACTTGGAAGAGCAGAGTCATGGAGGTGGGAAATGAGGACAGAGTGGAGTAACTAAGGATTTTTGAGCCTGCTTGGAGTGGGGAGACGGGTGGTGTAACAGGTTCCACCCTTCATGCTAGCGCCCCTTGTTGGCTGAGGGGCGGTCTCAGTATTTACTCACCTGTCCATGGGTGAGGCAATATGCAGTCAGTGGCTGGAGATCAGGCCTCTTCTTTTCCCTCCCGGGTGTAGTTTGCACGGGGATTGGAGGGGACCAATGAAACTGCCCTCTCAAAGAGCTCCTTGCACAGCTGGTTCTTGAGGAATCTCTAGTTGAATAACTTCTGCCTGCAAACGAATCGGGGTCCTTCTGACTCCTGTTTTCACAAGTGACAGGTTGGCTACCAGGTGGTCCATGTTCCATGCCTCTTTGGCATCCCAGCTCCAGACTCCTTCTGTGTCCTTGCAGAGGCCTTCCCTCATGCCAGGTGTGGTGGCAATGCAACTGGGTTTCTTCCTGTCCATCGCTGATGAGGATGCATTGCTTTCTTGGGATCATCTTCATTTTTCAGGAAATCAGTCAATGGAACTGAAGTAACAGGCATTCAATGGACTCTGTTTCAGAGGATGCTGCTAGTGAACCCTCTGACCTTGTGCTTTTTTGTCCTCACTGCTTTTTTGTCCAGCAGTGCAAGCCCCCTAGGCACAAGAACAGATCTTCAGCTCTCATTTTGCAGGGCAGCAGGAGTAGTCCCTCCTGAACTCAGATCTAAGAATAGGGTCCTCAGAGTCTATTTGAAGATCCGAAAGTTCAGCACTGAGGCTGGCCTTGCAGCTACTGCAGACTTCACTGGCAAACACAGTGCTCAGCTGAGCAGCTGTCAAATTTCTCAAACAACCCTTTGGAACGTTTGCAGCTTAAGGGAGTTTGGAGTGAAGAAGTGAGGCAAGGTTTGTATTATAGGCAAAATACGATCTTTGCCAGACAAAGAAAATGGCCATCATCAGGCACTGGCAGAGGTGGAGAGCAAATGGGACTGTGCCAGACACAGTGGCTGTGTCTACATTGGCACCCTTTTCCGGAAAAGGGATGCTAATGAGACAAGTCGGAATTGCAAATGCCGTGGAGGATTTAAATATCCCCTGCGGCATTTGCATGAACATGGCTGCCGCTTTTTTCCGGCTCGGGGCTTTGCCGGAGAAAAGCGCCAGTCTAGACGGGATCTTTCGGAAAATAAAGCCTTTTCCGGAAGATCCCTTATTCCTGATTTTAAGAGGAATAAGGGATCTTCGCAGCAGCCATGTTCATGCAAATGCCGCGGGGGATATTTAAATCCCCCGCGGCATTTGCAATTCCGACTTGTCTCATTAGCATCCCTTTTCCGGAAAAGGGTGCCAATGTAGACACAGCCTGTAAGTAATGACACAGCTGGTCCACGGATCAGGACAGTCCTGCTCCTGTAGACTAAAGGGAGCAGCTGTGTAATCCCCAGGGCAGGAGAGGCCCTAGCACCACCTTGAGCGTAAGCGGTCTTCTAAAGAGAGAGTAGACATGTTCTGGGGGAGCCACAACCTCCCCTGGGAAGAAGGAGACTCAAGGATGATGGAAGGGGTCCTTTCAGAGTGTATCATTTGTGTGGGATCCAAAATCAGGGTTACAGCAGCTGCTCCCAAAGAACTCCTGGAGCATTAGAAATAATTGGAACTAAAGATGTGATTTATTTCAAATGGAAGAAAATGGTTCCAGCTTTGAGTGGCTCTGATTTAATGCTCATAATACTAATAGAACCTGGTTTGTAGCCATGCCAGATATGAGCAGATCAGGGCACGCTTTCTGAAGATCAGGTGCCCCATCTTGCTGGCCTGCTGCCTCCCTCTCCCTGTATTCCCAGTTCTGACACACTGTGTTCCTTCAGCTAGAGGATGTTAGTCCCCATACTTGTGACCTGAAACAGGATTTGTATCCAGTTTTCTGTCTGGAGAATGCTAACACATTAACCCAGCAAGCTCCCTCTCCCCTCAAATTGGAATTGTTTGCAATGTTAGAGCATCTGGAGACTGGGTGTCAGACAGTTAAGCTGGATCTTCTCAGAACTAATGGCTAGGCCCAGTCAACAGGTGTATAAATATCCTGAAATTTACAGTGTGGTCTCAGATTTGACCCTTAGCCTTGACATCAAGTATGATGTATCCAAACTGTCTTTATTACATGCATTCTGTCTCAGAAAAATCCTCTGCATCTTTCGCACTGGTGAGGCCACGTCTGGAGTGTTGTGTCCAGTTCTGGGCTCCCCACTATAGAAAGGATGTGGATGCATTGAAGAAAGTCCAGAAGAGGGCAACCAAAATTGATTAAGGGGCTGGAGCACATGACTTATGAGGAGAGGCTGAGGGATTTGGGCTTATTTAGTCTGCAGAAGATAAGAGTGAGGGGGGATTTGATAGCTGCCTTCAACTTTGCAAAGGGAGATTCCAAAGAGGATGGAGAGAGGCTGTTCTCAGTAGTGACAGATGGCAGAACAAGGAGCAATGGGCTCAAATTACAGTGGGGGAGGTCTAGGTTGGATGTTAGGAAAATCTATTTCCCTCAGAGGGTGTTGAAGTACTGGAATGGGTTCCCTAGGGAGGGGGTGGAATCGCCATCCCTAGAGGTTTTTAAGTCCCGGCTTGACAACGCCCTGGCTGTGATGATTTAGTTGGGGTTGGTCCTGTTTTGGGCATGGAGCTGGACTTGATGACCTCCTGAGGTCTCTTCCAGCCCTAGGATTCAATGATTCTAATCTTAAACCAAGCTCTATTGACAAAGTGCAGATAAGAGACTATAAGTACCATTATTACCAGGAGGCAGTGGAGATGGATTGGCCACGTACTTTGGATGGAAACTGGAATCATCACCAGAACAGCAATAATATGGACACATGAAGGCAAGTGAAAACAAGGCCACCTGAAAACATGGTGAAAAGCTGTGGAAACTGAACGGGAAAACCTGGGGCAAACTGGGGAACCATTGAAAGATTTGCCAGAAACACTCACGCAAGCACATCTCGTGTCTTAGGACAAGTGCATGCATGAATGCATACTGTTATCTTCACAAGCTGTACCTTCCTTAGGACTGGCTAAGTGTTGGTAAGTTAACATAAGAGAGTATTTTCAATCTGTTTCCTAGACCTTTAATAATTCTTATTGCTCTTTTCTGGACTTTCTCCAATTTATCCACATCTTTCTGAGAAATGTGGTGCCCAGAACTGGACACAGTACTCCAGTTAGGCTAACAGAGAGGGGTGAAAGTGTTCTTCTCATGTCTTGCTTAGTACACTCCTACTAATACCTCCCAGAATGAGGTGCATTTTTTTGCAAGTGTCACATTGTTGAGTCATATTTACTGATTGTTCTGTCCCAGGCAAAGTACTTTGCATTTGTGTTCATTGAATTTCATACTATTTACCTTAGACCATTTCTCCAGTTTGTCCAGATCATTTTGAATTGTAATCCTGTCCTCCAAACCACTTGCAACTCCTCCCAGACTGGTATCATGCTGACTGTTACTTACCATCTTATTATCTTCTAGATGTTTGCAAGTTGATTGCTTAATTATTTACTCCATTATCTTTCTGGATAGTGAAGTTAAGATGACTGCTCTGTAACTCCCAGGATTGTTCTTATTTCCCCTTTTTTCTAGATTGGCACTAGAAAGGAGCCACAATTCAATGAGTCACCTGGCAGGAGGCCCCACTAAAGGGAATTGTTCAGCCTTGCCTGGGGACTCAGCAGTGCCCCCAGACATGTCTGGACTTGTGTTCTGCAAGCACATGGGACTGAGGGTGTAAACCCAAACATGGCAGGCCCTACACTTGGTCTTTCTCTTGTCCCCCTCATTTGCTGCAAGCAACAAGGACCTGAGGAGAAGACTGAAGACTACAACAGAAGGGGGCTGGCCCAGGCTTCAAGGGTGAAATCTTTATACTATGAACTGCAGTATGTAGTGGGGTGAAAAAAACAGCTGATCTAGTTGTTCCCCAGGCTAAGAGGGTTGAAAGTTTGGACTGCATGTTTATATTCTTTTTTCTTTTGATAACTAGCTCTGGTTTGTCACCTATCACTTTTAGTCACTTGAAATCTATCGTTTACAGTGAGTAAATGTGTTTAACTGGTTATCATTACTGAAGTGTCTGATAATTTACCTGAATTTCAGTTTACCTGAAGTGTCTGATAATTTTCTCAGGGTTTACAAGGCCAGTGTATGTCCACTTACCATTGATGAAGTGGTAAATAAACGTGCACTGCTCACACTGAGCAGTGCAGGGTGGTGTATTCCTGAGATACAAGGTTGGGAGCTGGGGGATTTGGCTGGTGAGTGGCTGTGGGAGCATTCGTGCAATCTAGCTAGGTGTGGGATTCCACTTGCAATGGTGTTGAGTGATCACAGCACCTGGAGGGGTTTGCTGCTTGTCACTAAACAAGCATTGTGAGAAATAGTTTAGGCTAAAGAGTTCAGGGGGCACAGTGGTCCCACAGTCCCAGGCTGCACCCTGGGGGTCCCACCATACACATCATTATGATGAATATGGGGTGCAGTATCACAAGGTACATAACCCATGCTGGGTCCATAAGTGAGAGGACTGGCTTGCATTTATTTCTGAATGTCTTGAAGTCTGGCACCTGTGAGGAGTCCATTGTCTTGCTCAATTCATCTGAAGGGGCTCTGCCTACACTCAGGAGCCTCGTCTTATATGAGGAGAGAAGGACTAAAACTCAGGAGCTCCCTGCATCCTGCCATGGAGGTTTTGAGGGCATTGCCAACTGCTCCAGGGGCTGTTTCCAGCTTCCCTATGGTGAATTCTCACACAAGCATGACTTCCTTTCCGTTTCACTACCAGGGCACCAGGAAATGACATCATGCCCTCCTTGAGTCCATGGTCTAATGTATATCTCTCTTTTCATCCTTGCAGGAGACAAGCAAGCCTTATCCCCATGACTTATCCCGCAGCCCCCAAAGCCTGAGTGACACTGGCTACTCATCAGATGGCATCTCCAGCTCCCAGAGTGAGATCACTGGCCTGGTGCAGCAGGAAGAGGAGCTGCTGAATGGCACTGGCCTGGAAGACCAGAGCCCTGCCAGTCCTTCTGAACTTACCAAACTGGAGAGCAGTGTACGCCCCTTGCTGGAGTCAAAGGGCATTTCCCAAGAGCACAGCGACAGAGGGAAAATGTTTCATGAGTTACGGGAAGAACAGAGACATAGGCAGAGGCCTCGGTCCCTTTCTATCACGCCTGAAGCCTTTGATTCTGATGAAGAACTGGAAGACATCATGGAAGAAGATGAAGACTCTCTGGAATGGGAGAACCAGAGGGATCAAAGAGAGAGCATGGATTCATCTGATGACTTTGGGAGCAAGCTGCGCCATGACTATGTGGAGGACAGCAGCGAAGGAGGGATCTCCCCACTGCCCAGCAGGCCGAAAGGCAGGGAGACAGAGATGACTGATGAGGAGTTCATGAGAAGGCAGATCCTGGAGATGAGTGCGGAAGAGGACAACCTGGAGGAGGAGGAGGAGGAGGAGGAAGACTACGACCATGTGAAATACAGTGTAGCAAAACGCGGGCACAAGCCTGACACGGAAAAAAGCAAAGAGCCAACCTCGTCCAAGAGGCGCCTGCCTCACATCTCTAGCAGCATGTATGAGGAGGAGAAGAAGGAGATGGAAGCTGTCGAGGGGGAGGATGTGACCACATCCCAGGGGGGACTGCGGCGCTTCAAGACCATTGAATTAAATAGCACAAGCAGCTACAGCAGGGACATGGAGCTTAGCCAGGATGCAGATATTAGCCTGGACAGGGAGCCAGAGCTGGAGATGGAGAGTCTGACTGGCTCCCCAGATGAACGGTCAAGAGGGGAATATTCCTCCACTTTGCCAGCAACTACACCCAGCTACACATCAGGCACCTCCCCTACATCCCTGTCTTCTCTGGAGGAGGACAGTGACAGCAGCCCTAGCCGGCGGCAGCGGCTTGAAGAGGTGAAGCAGCAACGCAAAGCTCGCCATCGCTGCCATGGTCCTTTGCTGCCAACCATAGAGGACTCCTCAGAGGAAGACGAACTGCGTGAGGAAGAGGAGCTCTTGCGGGAGCAGGAGAAGATGCGGGAGGTGGAGCAGCAGCGCATCCGAAGCACTGCACGCAAAACTAAACGGGACAAAGAAGAGCTGCGGGCACAGAGGAGAAGAGAGAGATCCAAAACACCCCCCAGTAATCTGTCTCCCATTGAAGACGCTTCGCCCACGGAGGAGCTGCGTCAGGCAGCAGAGATGGAGGAGCTGCATAGATCCTCCTGCTCGGAATACTCGCCCTCCATTGATTCAGAGGCAGAGGGTTTTGATGGCATAGCCTCCAAGCTGTACAAATCTGGCAGTGAGTACAACCTGCCAACATTCATGTCCCTTTACTCCCCAACAGAAAAAACAGACAGCAGCTCCCGTAAGCCCTTGAAAAGTGCAGAAGAAGCCTATGAAGAGATGATGAGGAAGGCTGAACTGTTCCAAAAGCAGCAAGTCCAACACTCCCAGCAAAGTGCCCACAGCAGCACCTATCAACAGGTAGGGTACCACAGTGCAGAAGGCCAGAGCAGTTTTGAATACCAATACATAGATGAGTATAGCTATGATAATGGGCATACAGACTCCTCTCCATCTGACTACCAGCACGAACTTTCAGAGCCGGGAGCAGTGTATGAGGAAATCCTGCAGACATCACAGAGCATTTCTAGGATGCACCAGTCCTCCTCATTTGACTTGGCCCTAGAAGAGGAAGAAAAGAGGAAAGAGAGAGAAGAAACATACCAGGAAAAGCAGTTTCTAAATGCTGAAAGTGCGTATGCTGATCTGATGAAACAAAACAGCGGCCCACTCACCCCAGGAACAAGCCCCACCCAGTTATTGGCTCCTGTCTCATTTTCATCCTCTGAAGGAAGCACAGGCAGGCTAATTCCTGATGTCCGTGTCACTCAGCATTTTGCAAAAGAAGGGCATGACCACCCAATGCTTCACAGCTCACCAGCAGCAGCCAGGACTATGGCAGCTCCCTGTACTTACAGCCGAGGTTCCAGTACCATCACAACTGTTGTTTCCAGCCTAGCAAGCGCTCCACGAATCTACAGTTCTTCTCTGAGCGGCTCGGATGGAACACCTTTATCTTCCCCTAGCAGAAGCTACAGTCAGATGAAAGGCACTGCAAATCACAGCTCTCAGACAGAGGACAGCTCTGAGAGCCAGCGGGTTGCTGAGCTCAGTGGAGCATCAGCAAGAGAGAAGCTCCAAAGTAAGAGCGAGAGCAAGATCAATGTCTCTGTATCATCTAAAATGTATTCCTATGCCCGAAGCACCAGCCCCCCACTGCCCCCAATGTCTCCTATTCAAATCCCTGCTCATTCAGCTCCAAGAGCAGGGCAGCTAGCCAGTAGAACAATGACAGAGTTTTCCACTCAAACACAAAGCACCGTTTTCTCTTACGATTGTCCCACTACCACTGGTATATCAACATCCTCTCCGATGATAGCTCAAGGGACCCAGACAACCCACCGTACAAGTTCTCCTCGCCTTGCTAGGCAGCAGTCATCCCAGGAAGCTCCATTTATGGTCATCACATTAGCATCAGATGCATCAAGTCAAACCAAGCCAACTTGTGTATACTCCTCCACTTCCCCAGCCTCCTCTCCCACCCAACTGAGCCTGCACCAGGCAATGCATAGCTACAGTCAGACAGCAGTCAGCTCAGCACCGCTGCAGTGGGAGCAGCTGCAGTCTCCTTATGCCAAGACACAGACAGTGATAGAAAGAGCCTCTGCTGCCAGGGCCATGCTTCAGAAAGGGCATGTCATTGCTGCTGCTGAGAGCACTGCTGGGGTCTATAGCTGGGGCCCCTTGCCTGCAGAAAACATCTCCTTATGTAAAATATCCTCAGTCCCTGGCACAGCCAGGGTAGAACCTGGACCCAAGCCACCCACCTCTAATGCTGTGGACTTACGGACTGCTATAAAGGCAGCCCCAATCATCATAACAGACCAAGGCATGGATCTTACTTCCCTAGCTACTGAGAGCAGAAAATACTGCCTCACTCGGGAACAGACCCCAAGTAGGCAATCCACAACTGTCCAACCCTTAATAATTAACCTCAATGCTCAAGAACAACCCCATGCTATTATAGGCACGGCCTCTACGGTCAGCATGACCGTTGCTTCTTCCATGTTTGTCGCACAACCCAAGCAACCTGTGCTCTATGGAGATCCTTTCCAGGACAGGATGGACTTTGGGGCAGGGACAGGAAGTCCAGTCTGTTTGACGCATGTTAAGCAGGTAGAGCAAGCAGTTCAGACTGGCACCTTCCGAGGGACCATGAGCAGCATTGGAATTTCTGCCCCTAGCACAAAGCCAGAAGCCACCAGTCCTCAGCCAACCAAATTTGCAAGATATAATTTGCCTAACCAGATGATGCCGTTGGTGAAGAAAGATGTGACTAGCAGTGACTTGAGCGCTGTTAGTATCAGCACTGGTCCGAGGCAAATTCCTCAGAACCAAAGCACAGACCTATGTAGAGGGACGCCAGTGGAACTCAAAACCCAGAGTCCTCCAATCAACCTGGGAGGCAAAAAATCTCAAGCCATGGTGGTGCAGATGAATGAGATAGCAGCAGGCCCAGTAACAAAGCTGTTCAAAGAAGAACCACCAGCCAGTGCATTGGATCTCACTGGAATAAAGTCTGAAAGCAAGGTGGCATGCTGCGATGTAGTGTACAAATTCCCCTTTGGCAGCACCTGCACAGGTACCTTCAACCCTTCGCCCAAGATCCCAGGGAAAAATGTTGGGGACGTTGCTCCAACTGGCAAACCAAGCATCCAGTACTATGGAAACAGAGAGCCTGATCTGCCAGAGACCTATCCCTACAGAGAGCAAATGGGCCCGGCTCCCAGCCTGTACGAGGAGCATCGTTTCTACCCACAAGGCCTGTCTGGAAGGCTGTATTCATCCATGTCAGATACAAATCTGTCAGAAATTGGTCTGAACTATTACCCCCCTGCAGGAGACTCTGCTGTGGATTTGACCACAATGAAACATTCCTACAGCATCAGCTTCACCGAAGGGGGCTACCTGCGTCAGGGAATGCAGTATGGCTCATTCTCGGACCTCCGGCAGCCCACAGATTTGTTAAGCCACCCGCTCCCAATGAGACGATACAGCTCAGCCTCCAATATCTACTCTGATTACAGGTACCCTCCCAGAGGAGACCTGGCAAATTTCCAGGAATCCAGTCTGGCACAGTACAGTGCCACCACAGCTCGGGAAATCAGCCGTATGTGCGCAGCACTCAACTCCATGGACCAGTATGGAGCTAGGCACTCAAACAGCCCTGACCTCCTGCAGTATGGGCCAGCAGGGGGCAGTAGTGTTTCAGCTCCACAGGGCATTTCTGCCATCAAACCAAATATGATGTATAACCCCAACTTCCCAGAGACACGCCAGGCCTTTGGGAACCTTGCACAGTACAGTCTCTCCGGTGCCCGGCTGGGAGCAGTCAGGCAGATCTTCCCTTCCACAGCCACAGTACGGGCAGCCGATGGCATGATTTATTCCACAATAAATACTCCCATAGCATCCACCCTTCCCATCACCACCCAGCCAGCTTCCGTGCTGCGGCCCATGATCCGAGGCTTATATCGACCCTATACCCCAGGCAGCATCACAGCTGTCCCTCTGGCCAACCTGACCAGAGTGCCTCTAGTTACTCCCAGGGTCCCCCTTGCTGCCCCAGGTCTGTATCGTTATTCAGCTCCCAGCAGGTTTCCATCTGTTTCTACAACATCGACGATGGAAACGCCCATGTACTTGGGGAAGCCTGTTAGCACCAGTGCAGCCAGCACTGCCGCAAGCAATGTTAGCCCAGGGCCTGCTGCCAAAGTGTTGGCTCCTGCTTCTGTGAACCTGCAACGACCTGAGCAGATGGGGGCTGATGGTCGAGAGGAGGGGCTCACAGCAGCTGCTAGTTTGCAGAGTGCCTCAAAAGACAGTCAGCATCAGCAGCCAGCGCCCCCTGTCCATACCCAGCAGGCTGAGGTAGCCCAGGCCAGTGGTCCCAGCAAAGGCAACATAGAGCGAGAGGAGAAAGAGAAGGAAGAAGAGCGCCAGAGAAAGCAGCAGGAGCACATCCTCCAGCTTGAGAGGGAGAGAGTGGAGCTGGAGAAACTGAGACAGCTGAGGCTGCATGAAGAGCTGGAGAGGGAGCGAGTGGAGCTGCAGCGGCACAGGGAGAAGGAGCAGATGCTAGTGCACAGGGAGATCCAGGAGCTGCAGTCCATAAAGCACCAGGTTCTGCAGCAGCAGCAAGAAGAGCGCCAGGCTCAGTTTGCACTGCAGAGGGAGCAGCTAGCCCAGCAGCGCCTGCAGCTGGAGCAGATTCAGCAGCTGCAGCAACAGCTGCAACAGCAGTTAGAGGAGCAGAAGCGGCAGAAAAGCACCTTCCCCCCCGTGTGTGATCCCACAGGAAGAGTCCCTCCCCAGGCCATGTCTGAGAGAGCCTTGGAAATGCAAAGGACTCTGGCCCAAAATGGACAGTACTGGCCCCCCCTGAACCAGGCTTTCATGGCTCCTGCAGCTCCAGGGCAGGAAGGGCCTGTGCCATCCCGCTACCCTGGGCTGCAGCGCCCACTCACCAACTCTGCCTCAGAAATGTCTCTGCAGCCCGAGGAGCAGTGGGAAGCCAGCCGGGGGATAAAGAAGAGGAATTCCATGCCACGCTTGCGGGATGCCTATGACAAAGAGGCCCTGCATGAGCCCTACATGGTGAAGAAGATCACAGACAGCAGTGTGCAGACAGATGAGGAGGATGGCGAGGAGCGCTACTTCCTGTCCCGGCGCCGACGCACCCGGCGCAGCACCGACTGCAGTGTGCAGACTGATGAGGAGGACAATGCCGAGTGGGAGCAGCCAGTGCGCCGACGACGATCCCGTTTCTCCCGGCACTCGGATTCCAGTGCTGAGAGCAAGCAGGACTCCTCCAAAGGCATGGCCAGCATAGGCATCCAGACTAGCAGTGACTGCTCTGTGCAGACCGAGCCTGACCAGCTTCCCCGCGTGTCACCCTCCATCCACATTACTACCCCTGACCCAAAGGTAGAGATTGTGAAGTATATCTCTGCACCAGAGAAGACCCAGCGAGGGGAGAGCCTGGCCTGCCAGACTGAGCTGGAATCACAGTTGCAGCCTGGTGTGGTGGTCCCCCAGCTCACTGTGCCTACAACCATAACGCCGTACTCTGCCAATATCCAGCTGGTGAGCACAAGCCCCCTGGACGCCCGGGTCATCCGGCACCAGGCCCTTGGCAAGTTTGAGAAGAAGAAGCCTGATCCTCTGGAAATTGGGTACCAGTCCCACTTGCCTGCAGAGTCCCTTTCTCAGCTAGTGGCTTGCCAGCCCCCCAAATCCCCTCAGGTACTCTACTCCCCTGTCTCTCCCCTTTCCCCCCATCGGCTGCTGGAGTCCTCCTTTACTACCAGTGAAAGACTTAACAAGGCCCATGTAACACCACAGAAGCACTTCACAGCTGATTCTACCCAGCGCCAGCAAACCCTGCCTCGCCCCATCAAAACCATGCAGAGATCTTTCTCTGATCCCAAGCCCACGAGCCCAACATCAGAGGAGTCTGGGAGGGACAGGTTCTCCGTATACCAGCACCCTTTCCTCCAAGGCAGCCAGGTAAGAGAGATGTTGAGTGACACATGAGCTACTGCAGTATCAGTGTGCTGGGGAGCTGCACAGGCAGGGAGAGCAGCCTGAGAGCAGGCTGCCTTCCTCCACTCAGATGAGTCATGAGTCAGACTGACTGTAATCTCGCAGGCTTTGGGGTCTGGCCCCACTAGCAGGTATGGAGTGTTAGAAAGAGGCAGCATTCCTCCCAGGGTTAGCCTTGGGGCAGTTGTATCCAGCAGAGGGGCCCAGCTCCTTGGTGCTGACACCATGGCCTCCCTTCAGCATGTATGCCTACATTGGTTTGTAGTTCTCTGTCCAGGAATTGTCTGAGAGCTTGGGTGAGTTTCTGCTGGGCCTTCACACCAGCCCCGGGGAACATTATTATGCCTTTCTGAAGCAGGGAACAGGTATCTCAACAGCAGTTACCTTTGCAGCTGCTGACCCCGGGTGCTTCCCCATGCAGCCATCTCCTGCAAATACGTGGAGGCAGTTGGCTTCTTTCTGTGGGGTCTGCACAAGACAGGGAGTTGTGGCAGGGCAGGAGCCAGGACACCAGGTGGCCTCCAGTCCTACCCTCACTGCCCCATAGAGAGGGCTTGGAGGCAGTGGGGAGGCTCCATTGTCTAGGGCAACTAGTAGGAGGAAGCAGTGTCCCTGGCCCTGGAATTTCACCTAGAGTGAGCCAGCAGGACCCAGTGCAGTGGGGGCTGTCCAGTGAAGCTGTCCCCAGTGCAGCGGCAGAAAAAACAGCTGAAAAAGCTTGTTAACTGAGCTGCTGGTAGTTAGAGCCAGAAAGGCCTGGCACACCTAGTGCCTCAGCTTCCTGGGGGCTCGAAAGCCAGTTACTGTGCCTGCAGGAGAGGGGATGCCCAGGATGGCCCATAAGCCAAGAGACCCCCCACAGCACACTAAAGTGAGCCCCTAAGAACTGCTGCTCAGAGATGCAGCTGCTCCCTCATGCTGCCAGGACCACTGCATGGGGGTGTTTCCTGCCCTCCGTGCCCGGCTCGGCACTCCTGAAGAAGAGCCCGGCACAAGACTTGTTCTTATTTTCCCTGTTGGGCTGAGATTCTCTCCCTGGCCATCTCTCTAATGCCCGCTGGTGCCCCTGAGCCCTGCATAGTCATTCTTTGGGAAGCCAGGAGCACAGGCATAAGCCATGTCCTGCCATCTATTGCTCATATTGAGATGATCAACTGGCAGAGCTGGGTATATGCTAACTGTCCAGAAAGCACCTAGATAGCCTGGCAGAGGGCACGGAGAAGCCAGATCTCCAAGCTAGCACCACCTTGCAGAGTTCTTCCCCCCGTCTCCCGGTAGGTCGTGCATGGTGTAGCCCACCTCTGCCAAGGAGCATCTTCACCCACCTGCAGCAGGGCTGACAGCCACTGCGGACCCCAGGGCAAGGTGTAGGGGTCCTGGCTCTACACTCTCAGAAGGGGTGGAGAAGAGGCAGGGCTGAGGGCAGTCAGCCTTAGCACTACCCTGACTGGCACGTTCCTCCGCCCCAGCCCTCCGAGCTGTGCAGAGCAGCACTCTGGTGGCAATTCAAAGGGTCCTGGGGTGCCTTTTGCTGTGCAGCTTTAGTGTAGACTCCTGAAACCAGTAACCTTCCCATCCTCACTGGCTCCCACCAACCTAGTTTCTTCTCCCCATGAGCCCCCCCATCCCAAGTCTCCCCAGCTGTGTTCTTCCCAAGTTCCTAGCTCTCAGACACACTGTTGAAGCCACAATCCTAGCCCGAACCCCCAGTTTTGCTTTGGTGTGTATACTCCATACAGTTTGCACACCAGAGACCTGCACAGGGAAAAGATAAACAGGAAGTTTATGTAATGGAAAAATCACAGTTCAAAGCTGAAATGCCGAGGGAAGCACCAGCGATAAATCACACAGAAAATAAAAAGAATGGCACAACCTCAGGCTTTACCCTGCCAAATTTAACCAAACCCTTTTCTACTACGCGTTTCCCAGCGCCTGTGAACAGGCTCCCAGCATGCCCCCAGGCCTAGAGAGACCCAGCATTTCATGCATAGCTGATACCTAGATGCTGGCCCTCAGGTTCTGAATAGATTGCACTTCAACCCCTTCCTTTTTAAATGGGATTGCCAAGTGTTTTTCTTTCTCTCAGATTATGATGACTCATGATTATTCAGAGCACAGGGAAATTCCCTCTTGAGGTGCCTCAGGCTGTGTCTACACTACATGCCTCTGTCGGCAGAGGCATGTAGATTAGGGTTGTAGGCAAAGGTAAATGAAGCCGCCATTTAAATGATCGCGGCTTCATTTACATTTACATGGCTGCCGCGCTGATCCGACAAACAGCTGATCAGCTGTTTGTCGGCTCGCGTGCTAGTCTGGACGTTCCCCCTGTCGACATCAAAGCTTCGGAATAGGAAGCCTAGTCCGAACTACCTAGTCCGTGCCGCGTGTAGCCGCGCGTCACAGAGTCCGCACTAGCGGACATTTAAAAATGGCGGCGCCCGGCAATATGCAAATGAAGCCCGGGAAATTCAAATCCCGGGCTTCATTTGCAACTCCGGTTGCCTACATTACCATCCTACTTCGAACTAGGGTGGTAGTGTAGACATACCCTCAGAGGCTGGAAATGGGCAAAGGAGAGGGTTCACTTGATGATTCCCTATTCTGTTCACTCCCTCTGGGGCATCTGGCATTGGCCACTATCGGCAGACAGGACACTGAGCTAGATCAACCTTTGGTCTGATCCAGTCTGGCCATTCTTATGTTCCAAGCAGAGAGCTTCTGGCCATGGTGCTCGGCTTTTGTTACTTCACGTTTCAGTGAACATGGCACTCCTTCCACATCTGTTTAATCTCTCTTACGATCACAGATAAGTCTGCACAGTGCCATACCTGTCTCCTTGGGCCCAAGCCCCTTCCTCCTCCCTTTCTTCCTTCTGTGTGCCATGCTAGACTGGGGACAGGTCCTGCTTCCCCTGAGCCACGTGCTCCCACTCTCCCAGATCCTCTTCTGCCTTCCTGTGCAGTGCCAGAACCTCCCCATCTACAGCATTCCATACCTGTGTGCTGGCTGAGCGCCCATGAGATGGCAGTCTCCTCAGGGCAAGGTCCTTGGTTGCCAATGTGTGTTGTAATGTGCCTATTGCTGCTGTGGAGATCATAATATTTAGTTGGCACATTGAACATCCCATTTTCTTTTGTCCTCAGAGGAATCCCAAGTGAGGGAGGAGGAAGCTTCCTCACTCATATTCAGTTAGAGCCCTGACACTGATGGCAGTGTCTGCCCTTCTGCTCTCCGTCCCCCACCCCATTAAAACTATTGGCTGGACTACTGGAATTCATTTGTTGGTTGGGCACCCCACCAGCTCCCCCCAAGGCCTGTGGGCATCTGTATCGCAGAGCTATGCTAGCCCCACAGGAAAGGATGTTTCTCTTGCATCCCGTAAACTACATATTACGAGGCACTTTTGATTTAATTCCTTGAAAATCCAGAACCAGTTTGGATTGGTTCTGTTCTGGGTCAGTTAAGGAGAAAAGTGGCTCATATGTTTCTCATTGCTGGTGTGCTTATTTCCATGTGCACAGTGCTAGTACGGCAGATGCACACTCTGCCGCACAGCCAACCTACATGCTAATCAAAAGGCACTGTGACCAACACCAGCGTTCCCCCAAGCCAGTCGCTCTGCAAGCTCCCCTGGGTAAGATGCCACTTTCACAGTTAATGGTGTGCAAGTCACTGGTGTGGCCAGTGTCACATCTGATCACCTCTGACTACTGCTGGGTGACTTAGATGTGACATTTCGGTGTGTGCTCAAGTGAGACTCCACCCACCTCACCTTCAGGATTGTCGTTGAGTGCCTTACCCACTGCTACACAGCCATGAGCACTGCACACCTGTTCACGTCCCACCACAGGAAACTGGATGAGGAGTCAGGCCTCTAGGAGGCTGTTTCTAGCACTCTGTGATATTGGGCAAGTCATAGCTTGTCCCCGTACCTCAGTTTCCTCATTTCTCCACTGACTGCAGTGATCACAGGGGGATATGCAAAGGCTTCAAAAATGAATGTTTAAGCACTTTGATAAGCTCTGCTGGCAGTGGGGCTGAGTTCTGACCACACCATGTCCCTGGGGTCACAGCACTCCCTGTGTCTAGGATTAATGCCTGTTTCAATTGTTTTTTAGATCTCTGCTTTGCAGTCAAACACTCTGATGCGGAAGGTGAAGCGGACCTTACCCAGTCCCCCCCCAGAGGAAGCTCACCTGCCTCTGGCCAGCCAAGCCCACTCCCAGCTGTACTTGCCCAGCTTCCTGCCAAAGGGGGTAGGAGGGCAGGCTGCTCCAGTAACCAAAGCCAGCCTTCTCCGAGACATCGACCGGGACCTGAAGCTGGTGGAGCATGAGTCCACAAAGCTGCGGAAGAAGCAAGCGGAGCTGGATGAAGAAGAGAAGGAGATTGATGCTAAGCTGAAGTACTTGGAGCTGGGCATTACTCAGAGGAAGGAGTCTCTGCTGAAGGAGAGGGGTGGACGGGATTACCCCTACCCAAGGTGCCTGGGAGAGAACCGGGACTACATGTCTGACAGCGAGCTGAACAATTTACGCCTCTCTAGCTACGAGGGCAGCAGTCTGCTCAGCAGGCCCAGCACTGCTCCCACTAACCACTATGTTGACTTCTCCAGCACGCAGTACACATCAGCCCCCTCTTATGCCCCCTACCCATACCCAGCAGCCCCTCCGGGCCCTGATGCCTTCCAGCAGCCAAGGCTCCAGCCCCCACATTACCCCATGGTCAGCAGTGGCACATCTCAGAATGGCTTCCAAGCTGGCCAGCTCCCCACCTTGCCTGCCCAAGGTGTCTATCAGAACCAGAGCTTCCCTTCCAGCACCAGTTACCAGAGCCAGCAAGGCTTCCGGCCACCTCATCATTATCAAGCTCAGGCCATATATCCCAGCCAGCCACCCTTGCAACCGGCACAGAGCACCAGTTTCCAAACACAGGCAGATGTGCATGCCATGCACCAGAAGCCACGGCAGACATCACTAGCCGACTTAGAGCAGAAGATCCCCACCAATTACGAAGTGATTGGCAATGCCTCGGCAGCCCCAGAAGCAACACACAGCCCTACGCCAGTAACCAGCAGCTATGCCCAGCACAAGGCCCCAGAGCCCCGGCCAGCTGACCAGAGCAATGCTGCACAAAGCCCCTCAGCCAGTTACTCCTCAGAGGCTTTGTATACAAATCTGGAGCAGAACATTCCCCGTAACTATGTGATGATTGATGACATAAGTGAGCTGACTAAAGAGACCCCTGCGGCAGACAGCCACAAGGGAGAGACAGTGGTACAGGGCAGCAACGGCCGCCAAGCCAAAGAGAAGAGTGAGGTGGTGGAGCCAGAAGGCTCCAGCAGAACTAGCTGCTACTCCAAAGCAGAGGAGGAGTCAGAGGAGGATATGTATGATCAGCATGGTGCTGACCATCGGGGGAAGAACAGCTACCACAGGGGCATGGAGAGCAATGGGAGGATGTCGGGCAGCTCCAGTAGCCCCTGCTCCTATTATGGGGATGATTATCGGCACTCTGCGCGCCCAGACAAGCATGGCTCTGGCCTGGGGATGCAGAAGCATTCCTCCAAAAACCTGGCTCCAGCTGTCATCTCATCCAAGCGCAGTAAACACAGGAAACAAGGCATGGAGCAAAAGATCTCCAAATTCTCCCCCATAGAAGAAGCCAAAGATGTGGAGTCAGACCTGGCCTCCTATACAGTGACTACATCTGTCAGCAGCAGCAATGTGGTATCCCGGGCCAAGAAGCTACAGGATGAGATCACCTACGGCCTCAAGAAGAATGTGTATGAGCAGCAGAAATACTATGGCGTGTCCAGCAGGGATATGATGGAAGAGGATGATCGCGCCTACAGCACTGGGAGCAGATCTAGATCATCTGCTTATGGGACGGAGAAATCGTTAAGCCGTGATACCAGCAGCAGAAGCAAGTCCTATGAGAGAGAGAGCATGGAGAAGCCACAGAAAGGAAGCTCCAAACCATCTTCCCTTAGTATGGGTCAGAGTCGTGGACGGCCTCCGATTCGTGCACAGACCTCTGAAGAGGAAAGTCCCATTAGCCCTTTAGGAAAGTCTGTGGGCATGTCCCGCTCCTCGGGTGGACCTCTCCCTCAGTCCTCGGGGGACAGCTGTTCCCAGTTCTGCTCCAGCCACTCGTTGCCTGATGTGCAAGAACATACGAAAGATGTGCCAAGGAACCACTCTTATAAGCACGAAGAAAGTTATATCCTGGATGATTCACACTGTGTTGTTTCAGACAGTGAAGGTAACAGTTACCTGTGGTGACACACCCCAGAGCATGCTCCTATGGGTAATTTGCAAAGACAGTCTCACAACCTGCATTTGCATACCATGTGCCTTTCTCCCTTGTTCCACTGCATGTTCCAAGTGTCTGGTGGTAGCATGTCGGTGTTCAGTGCCTGCTGCATGAAACAATGCTTTGTATTTATTGGGGAGGGGTTTATGACATGTCCCAGATGCATGTGATAAGCTGCTTGCACTTGTTTATATCATTGCATGGCTTCAGTGGGGGGGACATTCTTGCCTCAGGACCCAGAGACTCACTGTGCTCTGTGTTTGATTTCTGAAGCCTATCATTTGGGTCAGGAGGAGACAGACTGGTTTGATAAGCCCAGGGAAGCTCGCTCAGAGCGGGTAAGGCCCTACACTGGCCACTCCTCCCAGAAGAGACCGCCTGTCAAACACACCTTTCATGATTATGATGAGCCTCCTGACGAGGGCCTCTGGCAGCACGATGACTATTCTCAGGCACGTCACTCTTCTTCCAAAGACCATCGGCACCATGGCGAGTCCGGAAGGCACTCAGCCTCTTCCCGCCACCCAAGTGAGGATCAGCCCAGACGGACATCCAAGCAGCACACCCGAGAGCAGGGCCGCCATGAAGCCCGCACACACATGCAGCCATCTGCCCAGAAGAAGACCCAGCAGTCAGACACAAGAGTCCAGCCAGCTTTCCCCTCCAGCTCAGCAGAGCACTCGCAGCAGTCCCGGCAACCGGCCAGCTACCACCACTCCTCAGAGTCCTTGAAATCCCAACGGCAAGTGCCACATGGGCCATCGCCCCAACAAGTGAAAGCAGAGCCCCTGACGCACCACCCACAGCAGCAGCTTCCAACAAAGCAGCAGCAGCCGCTGCCATCCAGGCAGCAGCAGCCATCAGCCAAGCAGCCTCCACAACCGCAAGCAGGCCCTTCACAGCAACTGCCTCAGCCTCAGAAGGAGCCGCAGCAGCAGCAAGCCAGGATGCAGCAGCAGCCAGGGGCTCAAGGACCACCCTCTTCTCGGCCACCGCAACAACAGCCCAACCTGTCCCAGCAAGTCGGGAAGCCCCAGTCATCCCTCCCGGCACAGCCAGGCAGTCACCAAGCAGGGCCAGTAAGTGAACTGGCTTTTTGGTCGTGGGTTCCTCACTTACATAGGAGGCGCCTGGCAGATGACTTGTCTTCCAGCACTGGGGAGGCACCTGGGAGGCTCTTGTGGCACAGGAAGGAGGAAGGGGCTGGGAATCCTGCTGCATCCCCAGGCACAGGCCATGCACTGGCACAAGCTCCCTCAGTTCATGCCAGCACAACAGAGGGTGTTGTGCAGTGAGAAGGGGCCACATGCTAGGTATGTGCTGCGAGGTAGCTGATATGTTCTGCAGCAAAGGAACCCTAGAACCATAGGGTTGGAAGAGACCTCAGGAGGCCATCCAATCCAACTGCCTGCTCAAAGCAGGGCCAATCCCAACTAAATCATCCCAGCCAGGGCTTGGTCAAGCCATGCCTTAACAATTTCTAGGGATGGTGATTCCACCCCTCCCTAGGGAACCCATCCCAGTGCTTCACCACCCTCCTAGGGAAATCATTTTTCCTAATATCCAACCTAGACCTCCCCCACTGCAACTTGAGCCCATTGCTCCTCGTTCTGCCACCTGCCACTGAGAACAGCCTCTCTCCATCCTCTTTCAAACCGCCCTTCAGGAAGTTGAAGGCTGCTCTCAAATCCCTCTTCGTTCTTCTCTTCTGCAGACTAAATAAGCCCAGATCGCTCAGCCTCTCCTTGTAGGTCATGTGCTCCAGCTCCCTAATCATTTTCATTGCCCTCCACTGGACCCTCTCCAGTGTGTCCACATGCTTTCTGTAGTGGGTGTCCCAAAGCAGAACACAGTACTTCAGGTATGGCCTCACCAGTACTGAATATATGAGAACAGTCACTTCCCTTGATCTGCTAGCAGTGCTCCTATTAATGCATCCCAATATGCAGTTAGCCTTCTTAGCTACAAGGGCACACTGTTGACTCAGTTCCAGTTTCTCATCCACTGTCATCCCTGGATCCTTTTCTGCAGAACTGCTGCTTAGACAGTCGATTCACAGCCTGTAACAATACTTGGGATTCTTCTGTCCCAACAAGCTCTTGTTGAGACCTGCCTAGAATGTGCTGCAGCAGGAAAGGGGTTAAATGATGGAGCTCTCAGAGAAGTGCCAGAGCTGAGGCTGTGCTGAGATCAGCACTAAGTGTGGGGTGAAATTCCTCCCATTCACGCTTTATTTCCTGATGTCAGGCTCCAGTTGTCCAGGCAAAGACACCCACGGTTCCCCACTTGGCAAGGTCAAGCTCTGTTGGCTATTTTCATTCTCCAGTGCAGCCAAAGAGTCTGAACAGGCGGGCAGAGGAGAGAGATGAGGCTGGGAAAGCCAGGAAGCGGGGAGTGGGAGACCAGAGAGGGAAGGGCCATGGAAAGGAGACAGGGAGAGCAGGGGATGGGATTCAGGAGTTCCGTGCCCCCAGACTGGTGCAAAGTTCTTGCCCCTACCCAGCTACCTCCTGAGACAGGCCTAGTATTTACCTCTGGAGGAAATGCAGCAGAGGGAGCAGCTGCCTGGGTGGACTTGGGTGTGGATTGCTAGGGGTGGCAGATCATTTCCTTGGGGAGTCAGTCTGGCTTGCAAGGCAGGGCTTTGTGTGGGGAGATGTGTGGCTGGGAGTGGATGGTTTCAGGTAGGGTTTCCCAGGAGGTGACCTGCATGTCCCTGAGTTGATAGTCTTAGGGCTGGATTTTCTGCTGGAGCTTACTGCCATGCCCCTGTTCCTCTGGAACTGCTATTCTGCTGTCCCCACGCCATGCCCACCTGCTTGCCCAGGGACAGTGAGGCCAGGGGTATTCTGAAATACGCATTTCATGTTACAGCCCAAAGCAGATCAGGTGGATATGCCCAAACCCACCACAAAAGTGCCACTGCTGCATGGGAGAGCACCACAAGGACAACCACTGGGAACAGCTGCAGCAGGTCAGTGAGACAGACGGACATGTTGGACTCTGCCAGGCCACCTGCACCCATGCTAGCTGGCAGTGCCTGTGGCACAGAAGGAGCAGCCAGGCACCGACTGTGTTCTCTAGGGCTATGGCTGCCTGATCTCTCCAAAGAGACGATCCCTTTTTATCCCTTCCTAGTGCATCACAGCATTAGATCAGTAGGGGCTGGAAAAAAGTGTGTCCTTCTCTTGTCAGGCTATGGAATGGAGCCAGATCCCCAGCCTAGCACTGGAGCGGGGGGGACCCGGTCCCTTGGGGCAGGAGAGCAGTCAGCAGTGACCCAGGGTGGGTTGGCAACCCCTACTCAGGGAAGCAGAGTGCCCTAAAGCAGCCTGCCCTAATCTGTGCCAGTCACGCCACAGACTCCTGGCATCTGAAAGCACCTGGGTGGGCTCTGGCCCCAGCTCTAGTCAATTACATAGGCACTGCCCATGCTGGGGAGGGGCTATGGCTGGATTCTCCTCCTCACTTTGGCTCCATATACTCCCTGGCAGGTATTAAAGTGAGTCAGAAGCCAACAGGCACGGCATCTGGACAGCCCGGGGTGGATGGAGAGAGCGTGTTCTCCAAAATCCTGCAAGGAGGGGCCGCAGAACAAGCTGGCAAACTGACAGAAGGTAAGAGTGCCAGCCCCTGGCTGGGCATTTGTCTAGAGAGGGCCACACAGCCTGTGGGACCTGGCGCCATGGAGAAGTGCTGGCACAGGGTCTCTGCTTTGCAGCTCAGCAGAAGGGACTCACTGAAGACTGCAGGGTCTAGCACAGGCCAGAGGTGACCCAAGGTTCTGCAGGGCCCGATTGGCTGCTCGCTAAGCACTGAGCCAGGGCCAACCACTGCAGGTGGCCAAGAGAAACACTTTGTGCTTCATGGGGAAGAGCTGCTGTTTTTGGAATGGAGGGCCTTCCTGAAGCACGGGCTGTGGTGAGGTGTCTGGACACAGAGCAGGCCGGGCCCTCCTCGAGGAGAATGGCCTGGGAGCAAAGGGTGAGCAGAAGAAATTGTACAAATTGTGTGAGGGCAGCATGAGAGAGGCAGGGCAAGGTTACAGCTGTGAGGTCAAAACAGGCAGGGAACAGTTTGCCTGAGGCTGCCCTTCTTTCTGGGGAGAGACTGAGCAAGGGCAGGGCCTCGGGGGGAACTGCCCAAGTTTGCCCCTTTTGGGTCAGGCCAGTTTCCTCCCCCTTGTCCATTATTCTGTCCTTAGAGTGTCTTTTGCCTTATTTAATAGAGCTGGATGAGGTCCAAGCATTTTTGAGATGATGAGTCTTTCAGGAGAGCAAAGTCACTCAGCCAATGTCTGCAATCCCTTGCTCGCTGGAGTTCTGAATGAGACTGGCAGATGGCCCCTCTCTGCTGGTGGAGAGAGGCCTCTGACCAAAATCAACAGAGGTGTGGCATCAGCAGGCTACATGTGGACTGTTGAACAGCTGTGTCCCCTCGGTTCTCCAAGCTGGGGTGTCATTTACATTGCTTTGCTGTGAGAGCCATCACTCCTAGTCTACCCACACAGCCTCCAGCAGCTCAGTTCCTCTCAATTACACTGCAGAGCAACATCGGCAAACTCCTAGTCACAGACTTCCCCCCAGAAATGTGCATCTTGGATTGCCCAGCACCCTTCTAGACAGTACAGGCTCATATAAAGTCCATCATTTTAGTAACAGAAAATATCTAACATCAGTACCGGGCAAATTAGTTGAAACTATAGTAAAGAATAAAATTGTCAGACACATAGATGAACATAATTTGCTGAGGGAAAGTCAACATGGCTTCTGTAAAGGGAAATCCTGCCTTACTAATCCGCTAGAGTTCTTTGAGGGGGTCAACAAACATGTGGGATCCAGTGGCTATAGTTTACCTAGATTTCCAGAAAGCCTTTGACAAGGCCCCTCACCAAAGGTTCTTAAATAAAGTTAGTTGTCATGGGATAAGAGGGAAGGTCCTTTCATGGATTGATAACTGGTTAAAAGACAGGAAACAAAGAGTAGAAATAAATGGTCAGGTTTCAGAGTGGAGGGAGGTATCTAGTGGTGTCCCCCAAGGGTCTGTCCTGGGACCCAGTCCTATTCAACTTATTTATAAACGATCTAGAGAAAAGGGTATACAGTGAGGTGGCAAAATTTGCAGATGATACCAAACTGCTCAAGATAGTTAAGACCAAAGCAGACTGTGAAGAGCTTCAAAAGATCTCACCAAACGAAGTGACTGGGCAACAAAATGGCAAATTAAATGTAATGTGGATAAATGTAAAGTATCAAGAAAGGGAACTTAGGGTTTATTCTGGACAGTTCTCTGAAAACATCCACTCAGTGTGCAGCGGCAGTCAAAACAGCAAACAGAATGTTAAGAAAACATTCCCATTAAAAAAGGGATAGGGAATAAGACAGAGAATATTTTATTGCCTCTGTATAAAACCATAGTTTTCCCACATCTTGAATACTGCGTACAGATGTGGTCACCTCATCTCAAAAAAGATATTGTTGGAAACCAAAAATGGAGACACCGTGTAGATTCAAGCAGGAGGGTTTATTACACACAGCGCTGGCTGAGTGTCACCTTGCCACTTGGACTCAGTGAGCACTGCTAAGCACTTGATTACAATAGATTATATAGGGAGCCAATGGGCGGAGAGAAGCGATGGGGTGAGAGTTCCCGAGCCCCTGGATAGGTTCTGGCAGCAAGACATATGAGCATGGTAAGCCAATAGTCTAAAAGATTACGTAGTAGCTCCGCACCTAGCTCAGGTTAACATATTTGCTAAAACACAAGTATTACTCGCCTCCCCCAAGAATTGCCTATAATGCATAAGCTACATTCCAGTTGGAATCCATAGGAGTGGTGATGATGCTTTCCCAACAGGTGTGGGTGCGGTTCATAGGTACTTGTCTAGGGGTATAAAGCAATAAGACAATGTCAGGTATACAGCAAAGCAATTGTTATAACATCATTCCGATGTATCTGCAAGCTTGAATTGTTAGGGAAGGAGGGTGTCATCTCAAAGTGACATGTTAAGCCTTTCCCTGAATCTGTGGTTGGCCTTGGGAAGGCAAATGTTGTTTCTGTCCCATGCCGGATGGCAGACTATAAGGGCCTTGGCCTTGTTTGTGTGTGTGAAACTTATGATTAGGGTGTTCAGTTATGGCTGCCCACCTAATGTTATGCTACTTCGGCTACTTCCATTTGTGATACACCAGCGAGGCTGTTTTTCTGTATTTTTCCTAGGGCCTGTTGCCTAGGCCTTATGCCTCTGCCTCAGCTAAGCCGGAGACTGTGGTTCAAAAGTCTTACATATATATCAATGGGCTATTTGCTATTCTATCCCTACAATATGTGGGCATTGGAAAAAGTTCAGAAAAGGACAACAAAAATGATGAGGGGTTTGGAATGGGTCCCATACGGAGAGAGATTAAAAAGACTTGGACTTTTCAGCTTAGAAAAGAGGAGACTAAGGGGGGATATGATAGAGGTGTATAAAATCATGACTGATGCGGAAAAAGTGAAAAGGAAAAGTTATTTACTTATTCCCATAATGTATGAATGAGGAGTCAAATGAAATCAATAGGCAGCAGGTTTAAAACAAAAGGAAGTTTTTCTTCACACAGTGCAGTGTCAACCTCTGGAATGCCTTGTCCGCACACAGTCAGCCTGTGGAACTCCTTGCCTGAGGATGTTGTGAAGACTAGGACTTTAACAGGGTTCAAAAAAGAGCTAGATAGATTCATAGGGTATGTCTAGACTACATGCCTCTGCCGACAGAGCCATGTAAAATAGGCTACCCGACATAGTCAATGAAGCGGGTATTTAAATATCGCCGGCTTCATTAAAATAAAAATGGCCACCACGCTGTGCCGGCTCAGCTGATCGTCGGCACAGCGTGTGAGTCAAGACACGGATCAGTCGACAAGGGAAGCCTTTGTCGACCACTTTTGTAAACCTCGTTTCATGAGGCATAAGGTAGCAGAATAAAATTGGGACTACAAACTGAACAGAATAAAGATAAATCTAATGTCATGTAGAGCTGAATTTGATCTGGTCTGAATAGACCGAAATGCGTCTTGACTCGTGCGCTATGCCGACGATCAGCTGAGCCGGCACAGCACGGTGGCCATTTTTATTTTAATGGAGCCAGGGATATTTACTGACTATGTCGGGTAGCCTATTTTACATGTCTCTATCGGCAGAGGCATGTAGTCTTGATGTACCCATAGAGGTTAGGCCCATCAATGGCTATTAGCCAGGATGGATAGGAATGATGTCCCTAGCCTCTGTTTATCTGGAAATAGGTGATAGGAGAGGGATCCCATGAGGCTAGATGGACTTTTGGTCTGACCCAGTATGGCTATTCTTATGTTCTTATGATCTGTACAAACCCTATTCTCCCACATAGGATTTCCCAAACACTTCAGATATGCTGGTTTAGCTAAAATAATACATCTGTATTAACTAAAGAAAGATTGCAAGTGATTATAATAATGAGGCATAAAAGTAAGAATTTGTTACAAAGAAATAAAAGGTAAAATGCAACTAACACCTAACTTAACAAGCTAAATAAATTGAAAGAAAGACAGTCTCTCATCACATGTTTTAGCAGTGTTCCAGGCAGGACTTAAAATCATAGAATCATGGAATCATAGGGCTGGAAGAGACCTCAGGAGGTCGTCAAGTCCAGCCCCCTGCCCAAAGAAGGACCAATCCCAACTAAATCAACCCAGTCAGGCCTCTGTGAAACCAAGACTTAAAAATCTTGAGGGATGGAGATTCCACCACTTCCCTAGGCAACCCATCCCAGTGCTTCACCACCCTCCTAGTGAAATAGTTTTTCCTAATCTCCAACCTAGACCTCCCGCACTGTAACTTGAGACCATTGCTCCTTGTTCTGCCATCGTCACTACCATGAACAGCCTTTCTCTGTCCTCTTTGGAACCTCCCTTCAGGAAGTTGAAAGCTGCTCTCAAATCCCCCCTCACTCTTCTCTACTGCAGACTAAACAGACCCAAATCCCTCAGCCTCTCTTCATAGGTCATGTGCTGCAGCCCCCTAATCATATTGGTTGCCCTCCGCTGGACCCCTCCAATACGTCCACCTCCTTTCTATAGTGGGGGGCCCAGATCTGGACACAGTACTCCAGATGTGGCCTCACCAAAGCCGAATAAAGGGGAATAATCACATCTCTAGATCTGCTGGCAATGCTCCTCCTAATGCAACCTAATATTCTATTATCCTTCTTGGCTACAAGCGCACACTGTTGACTCATATCCAGCTTCTCATCCACTGTAATCCCCTGATCCTTTTCTGCAGAACTGCTACTTAGCCAGTCGGTCCCCAGCCTGTTTGGGGGTTCTTCCATCCCAAGTTAGGACTCTACATTTGTCCTTGTTGAATCTCATCAGATTTCTTTTGGCCCAATCCTCTAATCTGTCTAGGTCACTCTGGACCCTATCCCTGCCCTCCAGCGTATCTACCTCTCCCCCTAACTTAGTGTCATCCGCAAACTTGCTGAGGGTGCAATCCATCCTCTCATCCAGGTCATTAATAAAGATGTTGAACAAAACCTGCCCTAGAACCGATCCTTGGGACACTCCCCTAGAAGCCAACCGCCAACCTGACATCGAGCCGTTAATCATTACCCGTTAGGCCCGACAGTTTAGCCAGCTTTCTATTCATCTTACAGTCCATGTATCCAATTCATACTTCTTTAACTTGCTTCCAAGAATATTGTAGGATACCTTATCAAAAGCTTTGCTAAAGTCAAGGTATATCATATCCACCTACTTTCCCATATCCACAGAGCCAGTTACCTCATCATAGAAGCTAATCTGATTGGTCAGCCATGGCTTGCCCTTGGTGAATCCATGTTGAGTATTCCTAATCACTTTCCCCTCTTCCAAGTACTTCAAAATAGATTCCTTGAGGATCCCCTCCATGATTTTTCCAGGAACTAAGGTAAGGCTGACTGGTCTGTAGTTCCTTGAATTGTCCTTCTTCCCCTTTTTAAGGATGGGCACTACATTTGCCTTTTTCCAATCATCCGGGACCTCTCCCGATCTCCACGAGTTTTCAAAGATAATGGCCAAAGGCTCCGCAATGACATTTGCCAACTCCCTCAGTACCCTCGGATGCATTAAATCTGGACCCATGGATTTGTGTATGTTTAGCTTTTCTAAATAGTTCTTAACTTGTTCTTTCTCCACCAAGGGCTGCCCACCTCCTTCCCATACTGCATTGCCTAGTACAGTAGTCTGGGAGCTGACCTCGTCTTTGAAGACAGACACAAAGAAAGCATCGAGTACTTCAGCTTTCCCCACGTCATCTGTCTTTGGGTTACTTCCCTCGTTCAGTAAGGGCCCCACATCCTCTCTGATCACCCTCTTATTACTAACATGCTCATCCACCTGATCCGGTGGTCTATAGAAGACACCAAGCACAACATCACCCCTGTTGCTTCCACCTCTGCATTTAACCCATAGCCTCTCAACAGTCTTTTCTCCCTCTAAAGCATCTTGAGAGCCTCCATGACAGTGACCAAACCGGTTCTACCGGTTAAGGGAAAGGATGGAACAAAAGAAGTGAGTGTTGGGGAAAGGGTCAGTTGCTGGTGGGGAACCATGAAGGGAACAGCCTTAGCTGAGGCCTGAGGATCTAGGGGTGACAATGGACCCCCTAATCCAAGGGGTCTGAGGCACCCTGGCCTTAACTCCTGAAACTATATCACGTCTATGCTGTGCTGTATCCCGGAGCAGCAATAAACCCCCTCTATTCTACTGGCTGGTGGAGTCTATTCTTGCTGCTATGGGGGTGCAGGATCGAGGGAACCCCGATGCGTCGTCACACATGCCTATAGAAACCTTTCTTGTTACCCTTCGCATCTCTTGCTAGCTGCAATTCCAATTGCGCTTTCGCCTTCCTGATAACTCCCCTGCATTCTCGAGCAATATGTTTGTATTCCTCCCTAGTTGTCTGTTGAAGTTTCCGCTTCTTGTAAGCTTCCCTTTTGTGTTTAAGCTCACCAAGGATTTCCCTGGTAAGCCAATCTGGTTGCCTACCATATTTCCTTTTCTTTCTGTGCATTGGGATGGTTTATTCCTGTGCCTTTAATAACGCTTCTTTAAAATACTGCCAGTTCTCCTGGACTCCTTTCCCCTTCATGTAAGCATCCCAGGGAATCCTGCCCATTAGTTCTCTGAGGGAGTCAAAGTCTGCTTTCTGAAGTCCAGGGTGTGTATTTTGCTGCTCACTTTTATTCCTTTGGTTAGGATCCTGAAATCTACCATCTCATGATCACTGCTGCTCAGGTTGTCGCCCGCCTTTACTTCCCCTACTAGTCCCTCCCTGTTTATGAGCAGCAGGTCAAGCTGCTCATGACCCCTGGTTGGTTCCTTCAGCACTTGTACCAGGAAGATAACCCCAACATTCTCCAAAAACTTCCTGGAAGCTTCTCTCAGTTGTCTGAAGAAAGTCCCATCTACCTCATCCACCGGATCCGGTGGTCTATAGCACACACCAACTACAACATCATCCCTGTTGCTTCCACTTCTAAACTTAAGCCATAGACTCTCAACAGGCTTTTCTCCCTCTATCTACTGGAGCTCTGAGCAATCATACTGCTCTCTTACATACAATGCAACTCCTCCTCCTTTTCTCCTCTGCCTGTTCTTCCTGAACAGTTTATACCCTTCCATGACAGTGCTCCAGTCATGCGAGTCATCCCACCAAGTCTCCATTATTCCAGTCAAATCATAGTTCTTTGACTGGGCCAGGGCTTCTAATTCTTCCTGTTTGTTTCCCAGGGTATGTCTACACTACCCTCCTAATTCGAAATAGGAGGGTAATGTAGGCATACTGCAATTGCAAATAGGTGTCCTTTTAAAATGCACAATTTGCTGATTGTCCTATTCAAGTGCATGCAACAACACTGTATGTATGTCATGAGATTCTACTATATGATGTTTTTGAGACATGTTCCAAATTTGGAAAAAAGCTTGTAGGGGCTGAGTGAGGCTGCTGTGTGGTTGTCACTAGCACTTCTCACTGCCGGGCTGTTAGCCACACATACATTGCAAGACTTGGACATGTGCGTGTACATATTTAATGTTTTTCAAAAGCTAATTAAGTATTTTATGGGAAAGTGTGAAAGCAGCTTCCAGCCAGAGCTGCTGCTGAGGTCACCAAATCAGGGGGCTGGACTTGATGACCTTCTGAGGTCTCTTCCAGTTCTAGGATTCTATGATTTGTCCTAAGAACCCTGCTCTAGGGAGAAGCTGGATTGTGGGCTGTGGCTATAATGCAAGGAGCCCAGTGGCCGACCAATGTGAGGTGAGGTAGGCTCATGGGACTTAGACTATGAGGCTCGGGGGTGGCCAAAATAGTGGTGGATACAGCACAAAGAGCTCAGGGAAAGAAGTTGTTGAGAAAAACAAACAAACATGCTGCCCCTTTAACAGCTGTGTGTGGCCCAAGCAGGCTTCCATAGGCCGCAGCATCAGATCTCGCTGCCCCAAGCAGCGCCCTGAACAGACAAGGAAAAAAGATCAGAGCGGGGGAATGCAGAACAGCCGCAGGTGCGGAAGTCAAGCCGCAGGTGCAAGAACTGCAATTTTTCCTTTGAAGAGCTGCATGCAGCTCACGAGCCACGGGTTGGCCACCCCTGGTGTAGCTGTTGCTATTTTAGGAACAATCAGGTGATTGAGGAGCCAGCCTGGCTGCCCCCATAGAACCACCGTTATGGCATGCTTAGAGCTAGTGCCAGCACAGGCAGGATGCAGCAGGCCCAGAGCTGCAGCAGGGTTACCAGGAGCTGGCCCCAGACAGTGCTGACACCACACACCTGATGCACCAGTCTCATCCCCCTCTTTTCTTTGCCATCACAGCGGTGTCGGCATTTGGCAAGAAATTCACATCGTTCTGGTGAGCAACTGCCACAAGGTGAGTTACACTCAGCTGCCTCTACTCTCTGCCCCATGGCCATGTTGACATGCCATCCCCTCGCCACCCCATGGCTGCCCTGCCATGCCATCCCTTGCCACTCCCCACCTTTCTCCTGCCCAGTAATTCAGCTGCTATATGCTGACTGCACCTCCCAGCTTATGCAGCCATCGCTGTGCCAGCCAGAGCCTCTTCTATTCCTGTGGCACCACCTGGAGGTGCCTGTCATTAGCTTCCCTAACCCCCCTCATCCCCAACAGGAGGCTGGGAAAGCAGGGGAAAAACCTATGAAGAAACCAGTGAATTCAGCAGGCAGCGTTGGACTCTGGGTATAACAGTGAGTGTCACTGGGGACATGGCTGCGAGTGGGCCTGTGGGGGGTCCAACCATAAGGGGATCTCCTGGGGACAAGGCCGCAAACAGGTCTGTTGGGGGTATAGAGATATGAGGGGCTGTGTTGGGGGGTAGGGATATGAGGGAGTTTGCTGGGAGTCTAGAACCAAGGGGTTTAGTGGGGGCACAGCCAAGAAGAAGTCTGCTAGGGGTATAGACATGAGGGTGTCGGTACAGACACAAGGAGAACTACAGCCACTGCTAGGGATACAGACATGAGGGAGTCTGGGGGTACAGCCACAAGGCCAACTGCTGCTTTTGGCTATTTGCAGATTGGATTATGTGGAAATGTAGTGTTCCTGAAATAAATGCCTATGGGCAGGGTCAGGTAGACAGTAAACTTGGTCCCCCAGCTCTGCCAGTGCCCCTCAAACACTCACCCTGCAGCCCCCTGCTAGCTGAGCCCTGGGCTCCCTGCTCCCTTAGCTCTGCCAGTGCCCGTCAGTCTCTACCCGCTGTCCCTGCACAGTGTGTGCCCTTGTTAAAGCTGCGTGCAGGTTGGTGCTGGTACCAGAGCCACATGTCAACTGCCTCAGGGAGTTGGAGAGCAAAATGACTGAGCGGTGAGAAGGCACAGGCCGTGGTGAGACCTGTGTGCGGGGTTATGCAGCAGCAAAGGTGCCTGGTACAGGACAGTACCCCATGGCTGGGAGTGGGCCAGCCAACAATGAGAAAAACAACATGAGGGAGGGGCTGGGCCTCACTTCCTTCCCTAGGAATCGCACCCTGCCCCGGCCCATCTGCTGGGCATGGCAGCCTGGTAGCCTCTGCCAGGATAGCAGGGGAGCCAGAGCTGTGCTGCTTCTGCCAGACTGGCTCCCCTCACAAGCAGTGACCCCGCACAGGGGCTGGCAGGGCAGGCTGGGATGCACGGACCCTAAGACATAGGAATGAGAGACAGGACTGCCCAGGGCACATGACCAGCAAGCCACTGGGCTACAGAGCCCCAGCAGTGTGTGGCCCTACTGGAAAGGCTCTCTTGCTGGCCAGCCATCTTCCCCCACAGAGTTGAGCCACCACAGTTCAGCACCCATCTGCCAGCCCTTTATCAAGGAGGACGGGACTGACGGATGTTGTGGCTGGCCAATCACAATGCACCGAGGCAACATCTCCTGCTGGTCACATCACTTGCAGCTTGAATGTCGTTAGGCTTCTGAGCACCTGCCTGGCAATGGCACCCGAGTGCAAGTGCTGTGGCAGGAAAGCTGCAGGGGCCGGGCCTGGCCTGGCTGCAGTGCTCATTTGCAGAGAGGGAAATGCACAGCTCGGTGCCCAGATTTAATATCAGGGCATGTGGTGCCAGGGCACACCTAGCCCCATGGCTGTGATCAGTGCGGGTCAAGGGGGCATCGATTGCTCATCTTCATCTGCAAAGCAGCCCTATCAGCTGGCCTGATGCAGCATAGTTCATAGCTGCTCCCCGCAGGTCAAATGAATGCTGCTGACCCCATCATGCTGCCCCTCATGGTGCTAGTGCAGCTCTGTGTTTGCATGGCTGGGCCCCTCTCACATAGGGAGGACCAATGGTCCGTCCACAGCAGATGCCCAGCCCAAAGCCCCTTTCCTGTTCTCTCCTATTTCCTTGTTGTTGAGAGGTCACAGCAGGGCCTGCATGCTTTTTGGTTTGGGGGAAAGACCATTGAACATGGCTAAGCTCAAGAAAGCGGGTAGCTTCTCAGCCCTGCTTTGCCAGCATGTGCCAGTGCTGCATGGGCATTGGTATGGGCACCCCAGGCCAAGGGGAGTGTGCTGGGAAAGGCCAGCTGCTCTGAGATGCCTCTCTCAAGCCTCGTCGTGACTCTGCCATTGCTTAAGAGTCAGCTGCCAGTCCCATTTCTCTCCTGCTGTTTTCATGCTGCTTCTGTTTTCAGTGTGAAAACAGGGATGCAGCCTCCACATGCCCCAAAGCAGCAGGACATTTCCAGGGGAGCTCTTCCGGCTCTGGAGATGGTAGAAATCAAAGGGCAGAAGTTCCTGCCAACATTGCTTTTTATGTGCATTGCGGGAACCCTTGGAGCTCAGTCATGGACCAGGGCCCATTGCGCCAGGGCCGCACATATCATTGCCAATGATCTTTCTCTCTCTTTCTGTCTCTCATTAAGCTTTTGAAACCAGGTAAACCACTAGGCTGCTTCATCGATTGTAAGGCCTGAAGGGCCCAGCATGACCTGCAAGGCCGAAGACAGGATGTTGGGTCTCACTGGGCTGACCTGGCCTTTACCCATAGCACGCTCCTTCAGAGCCTTGGAAGCAGCACTGCATGCGGGCGTGGGGAGCGACCTCTTCTCAGCTCTGGGCCCCATCTGGAGCAAGCCACAGGAAGACACACCTAGTGCTCAGGCATTGTGTCCATTGGAACATGGACACAACACAGGCCTCGTGGAGGTGGGCTTTGCCCTGCTCTCAGAGGATGCTTCTGAGCTGTCCCAGGACTGCTTCCTTCTGTGGTCTCCTTGCGCTTGGGGCCTGAGTGGGGAACCCCTGGCCCTTTCTTGAGATTATACACAGAGTTGAATCTCACCGAATCATTCCTCTAGTGTCTTCATAGGTTTTTCCCTCTCTGAGACATGTACTTGTCGAAGGCTGGCAACTGAAGGCTCCAGTCTCCTTCACATTCCAGTTTCCCCATTGGCCCTTCTGCATGTACAGTGTCCCTGTACTCTTACCACCTTTGCGACGGAAAAGGTTCCACACCCCTTTCTGGGGGACTGGGAGAACTTCAATTAGGACCTAACACTGTTTCCTTACTGAGATACGAGGCCATAGGAATCTGAAAGGCAGTGCATAAACTGGCTGACTTTTCCTGAAGTGCATACCGGCCAGGCATGTCTCTCAGCCACCCCAAAGCCATCCTGAAGCCATGCTAAAGCATTCAAATGGCAGTGGTAACGACGCATGTTGTTTTACGGAGGCCTGGGTATTATTTTTATTTCCAGAACAGCCTTAATCATTCCATTTTGATTTACGTCTATACCTCATCAACTCCTGGGGGTCAGTGGGGGGTCTTATTTCTTTTGGATTTACTTTACTTTGTGCTGGATTTTCTTTTCTTTCTGCTTTGTGCTGAGTTAGCACCCAGGCTGCTGTCTGTAGAAGCAATAGAGTCCAGAAGGCTATAAAGAGCACAAGGTCAGGAGAGCACTGCCTCTGCCATTCTCCTTCTTATTACTGTGCAATTCAAGTCCTTAAGCCATTGCCGGTGGGCATGTTCAGAAGGCTGGAGGAGCCACTCACAGCAAAACGTTTAACCTGCCAGAATGAAGCTCCTCAGTCTGTAACCGGAGAGAGCAGAAGAAAACCAAATGGAAAGCTTGGTTCACTGCAGTGAGATCAGCAAGTGTACAAATGCTCTGGTTTTCATTTGTTTGTGTTGTCAGGTTCCTGCCAGTCTCTCGTTCATGCTGAGCATGCTCCAAACAACAGTTCATTGGTGTGATCCATAGGAGCTTCCATCCATCTTGGGTAACCACGAGCGAGTCTATTGTCTAATGTTCTATGCAATGAAATACAAAGTTGAACAAATCCTGTGAATATTTAATAAGTTCAATGCTCTGTATAAGGATTTAATTGCAACTGTGCTATTGACACTGGCTAGAGCTCTGTATAGGAAACACCCATGTGTGTGACATTTCAGTAAGTGGCATGTTTGACCCCTTGAGGGACACTTTGCCAAAGGGGAGCCATGTGGCCTGTGACTGTCCTGTAGTGGAGCATGGCTTGCTACTTTACTGCACGCTTTCATCTACGTTTAACGCTTGCGATTCTTTGCCTGGAGGATTTTTTTCTCACTGGTTCATCTTTGATGTTGAATGCTAGTTGCAGATTTGTGCACTTGTTATTGATGGCACAGCCCCAATGTGAAGCAGAACGTTGTGCAATTGATGTGTCCGAGCCCTCTGCCTCTCCCATGCAGTGACTACCCATGTCCAATACACAGCATCACCGGGGTCCCTGAGGTAGCCCTTTGGTCAGCTCTGACCCATCCCAGAATAGATAAGGGGTAGGGAGGTGAGGCCACTAGTCAGCTGGGCAGGGCAGCTGGAACAGTTCTGGAAGCTGGTTTTAGAATTTCTGCACAGAACCCCTCCGATTTCTCCTGCTTTGTGCAGCTGAGAGGTCTTTTGGTGTCAGCTCATAGTGGTGCCCTTCCAGTGCAGTACTACCAGAGACTGAAGAGCCTGGAACAATGGGCCCAGGAATCCCTGGGGAGGGAACTGAGCGTGGCCCAATGCTAGCCCTCTGTTCACACAAGCTTAGATGAAGCTTGAAAAGCCATTTCAGGCGAGAGGACATTGCAGTGAGATAGGGCCAGACCCCCTGGGCAGTGGGAGCCTGTGGGGATTGAGCAAGACGTGGAGGTTGCCACCACAACACTCACTTTGCAGGGTGCAGCAAGTGGGCTGTGCCAGGGTGGTGAGTGATCAGGCCAGCCGACACCCTGCTGCCTCTGCTCAAGGAGCTTGCGCTCCATAGTGTTTGGGGCTCCCATTCTCTCAGCCGGGGCACTCAAACCCACCCAATCTAGGTGCATGGCAGCAGCCTGCCCAGAGGCCAGCATTCTCTGTGGCAGAATAAAGCCACCATCCCCATAGTAGAGGTGCCACTGTCAGAAACAACAGGGCCCAGCATGTACTGCTCTGCCTTGGCGCTAGAAATGTTGTGTCCATGGGCCATGTGGCCCGGAAGGAGGCAGTTCATAGAGGGGAGCACCACATGGTGGTCCAGGCCTGGGAGACGCCTGGAAGGAGGCAGTTCATAGAGGGGAGTGCCACATGGTGGTCCAGGCCTGGGAGACGTGTGTAGCAGCTGGGAGAAACCCCAGCCTTGGCAGGCAGCTTCTGAGATCCCAGTCATGAGATCCTTATTCAGTAGAGGCCATGGTAGGAAGGGGGATCCCCCTTACTGATCTCCCTGGGACCTGGGGGTGTAGCTGATACCTTTGTCTGAGGTTGAGAACGTGGAAGGGCGTTGCAGGAGCTGGATGCATGTTGAAGGAGCAGGAGCCCAGCACAGGGCTGGGGGAGCTATAGCTGTGGCTCCGTGCAGGTCACTGTGGCCTTGTCCCCAGGTCACTGTGGCAGGTTGCTGTGGATCTGCGTAGGGCTCCCCACCTGAAGCTCCGGCATGTGGCAGAAGCACTGGGTGGGAAGGTTTGCACCACCTGAGCTCCCAGCATAGAGGGCATTCACTCTAGATCTCCCCATAGCACAGCAAGCCAAGGCCGACCTAGTGTCTTGAGCATCAGTGGCCAGAGGATGAGTCAGTCCCTCTCCAGCTGCACCAGGAGCATGTCCTCTCCCACCTCCTGGGTAGGTACTGCAGCTTAGATGGGAGGCAAACCCAAGGCCCTGACCCGGGCCTGACCCCTTGAGTCTACCAAAGTGAGGGGACCTAGAGCCCTTGGCTGGGCTGCAGAGTGCAGGGCAGCAGCCCCAGGGCAATGTGGCACTGCCCACAACTGGGCGGTGGCCTACCAAAGGGGATGCAGATCAGAGACACCTGCCTCCCTTAACATCCCGCCCAACTGTAACATTGCCTGGCCCCTTGGCTGCCAGGCCCTTGCTCGCATACTGGTTTGGGGAGAAGAGTGAGCTAGCCCTGGCCACAAGAGCTTTGCTCCTGGGCTCCTAGGCCTTGGTGCCTTCAAAGGGAGCTGTTGTGGCTGCCTTTGTGCCAGGCATCAGGACGTTCCAGCAGCAGTGCTCCAGGGCCAGCCAGGGTGTGTCCCCAATGACAAGTGCATAGTCTGCAGACACCTGCCCTCTGCAGGTTTGCTCAGCTCCCATCATTCCTGGCATGTAAATAGTTGTAAGTGCGGTACTGAGAACAAATGCCAGTGAGGCCATGGAGCGCCGCTCCCCGCCCAGCACATTGGCCACTCACTGTGGTGGGCTTGCTGGGCCGGCCCCTCCCCACACTCGTCCTCGGAGGCTTTCTTGTGCATTGGTTTGTGGAGGGGGAGGGGCACTGCAGAAAGCTCAAACAAAGCCCAAATTGCCAGTTGTCAGTGCAATGACCTTGTGAATGGTGTGTAGTCCTGCTGTGCTCTGTGAGACCGTGTGTTCCCCTGTGCCGCCTCCGTGTTGTGACTCCCTCCCAGACCTTGCCCTCTAAGGCATTTCTGTGGGAACAGAATAAAAGGACTTGATAGAAATGGGTGCCATGACTGGATCTGTACCGAGCAAGACTGCACAGTGAAGCCGTGCTGAGGAGAGCCGGGCAACCCAGCAGGTGACAGGCCCTAGCAATTAGCAGCTGAATTGAGCCGAAAGGGCATGGCCAGCAGCACTGAGTCCCCAGAGAGCAAGTCTGAGTTCAGCTGATTTGGGAGGTGGGGACAGTGGCTTTGCCTCCTAGCACAACTGTGCTCACTGTGGGCAGATGGGGAGCAAAGGTGCCTGTAGCCCTGCACTGCTGAAGCCAAGCTGCAGTCAGAGGCACAGGGACTTCTCAGCTAAGGGGCTGGCTGCCTGGCAGGAGGAGCTGGCTGCCAGAGGTCCCAGGTTTTGGAACTGCTCTGCATGAAGGCAGGCAGGACTCTAGTGCAGTATCTCCCCTCAGCCACTTTCACCATGGCAAAAAGCCTCTGGGGTCTGATCTTGGAATGTTCAACCATTCAGTGAGTCCCCTTGGTAGGCTACCTGGAGAAGACACACACGGCCCCAGGGGCCCTTTACTCCAATCCCCAATCAGGCATGACACTCCGTGAAATAAAGAGCTACGTCTACACTGGCAGCTTCTTGTGAAAGAACTATTTTGCGGAAGAGTTCTTGTGCAAAACGTCTTCCACAAGAGCACGTCTACACTGGCATGTGCTTTTGTGCAAGAGCATCCATGGCAGTGTAGACACTCTTGCGCAAGAAAGCTCTGATGGCCATTTTAACCATAGGAGCTTCTTGCACAAGAAATTCATGTTGCCTGTCTACACTGCCCTCTTCTGGAAGAGCTCTTGCACAAGAGGGCTTATTCCTCATCGGGAGAGGAATAACTCTTCTGGAAGAAGCCCTGCTTTACAACTCTATATTGTAAATTTACTTGCGCAAAAACACGTGTGCAGTGTAGACAGCAGGCAAGTTTTTGCGGAAGAATGGCTGTTCTTGCGCAAGAAGCTGCCAGTGTAGACATAGCCAAGGTGTTTATTGTTCAAGGAAAACAGCTGAGAGCAGATCTTGTTAGCACACAAAGAAAGAAGTTGCAGCAAAATCTAGCTTGAGGAATCCAAAGCCCTAGGGTCGTCCACTGATTCCCAAACCGGGAAACTGACTAGCCTCTCACAATCCAGCTTTAGACTCACCCATTGCCCTTTAAATGCCCTTTGTCTCTTTTCCCAGGCAAAAAGGTCAGTTGGTCTCTACCTCACTCCTGGTTCCAGTTGTCTCAGCCAGTGGCTCCCCCCCCAGCCACTATCTGTCTGCTGGCAACTAATGGCAACCAGTCTCACCTTCCCTCTAGGCTCAGCAAAAAATCACACCCCTTGTCCTGCCACCTAGGTATTTGTGTAAAACAGGGGAAACTGAGGCACACACTATTCATGCAAAACATTAAGAAACAACCCTCCCACTTCATCACATCTCCCTCCCTTTTGAGACTGAACTGAGAAGGGTACTTGGTCTGTGACCTGGTGAAGTTCAGGCTTCTCTCTGCAATAAAGCATCAGCTAGAACAGGGCTACTGAACTTTGGAAGCTCCGGGGGCCACAATGATACTCAGAGCACATGCTGAGGGCTGCAACTTAAGTGTGGTTGCATAGACATGCAAATATATATGCAAATAGCTCCTTTCACACTGACGGGCATGAATACAAAGGCAAGACTACACAACACACAGGCCCCATTTAAGTCAGTTCTGCTGATATTAATAAAATGCAACATTTACCCGATTTCCACCCATGTGACAGCACTTTTAATGAGCAATGACAGTCCAGGAATTTAACTACTAAAACACATAGGAACAGAAGGCCATTCTATTGACTCCTTTTTTGTTTTGGCTTCACAACAGTCCAGGAATTTAATTACTGAAACACGTCAACCCAAACTGCACCGTGGGCCGCAAACAAATGGGCCGTGGGCTGCATGCGGCCTGCGTGTTGAGTAGCCCTGAGCTAGAACACTGCACTGCTGTTCACATAGATCAGCTCCATGTTGTACTCCTGCAGGACGATACTCCAGCTCAGCAGCTTGACATTGGCTCCTTTCCTCTGCTGTAGCCATGGGTAAGTGATAAACATGGAGACCTGGGAGATGGGTCAGAAATGGGAGGGAGCATAGGCTATAATAGCAAAGAAAAAGGAGGGACAAGGCAGAACTGGGAGACAAAATCAAATCAGTATCTTAGATGCCTGTATACAAATGCAAGAAGTACAGGGAATAAGCAGGAAGAACTTGAAGTGCTAATAAATGAACACAACTATGACATGGTATCACAGAGCCCTGGTGGGATAATACACACAATTGGAATATTGGTATAGAAGGGTCAGCTTACTCAGGAAGGATGGGGGAGGGGGGAAGGGAGGAGGTGTTGCCTTATATATTAAAAACTAGCTGGAGTCACCTGGCATTGCTTAGAACATAAGGGGAAAGGGAGCCGCGTGCCTGCCGCTGGTGCCCAAGCCTGCCCTCTGCTTCCTTGTCCCTCCGCCAGCCTTAGTGACTGTCCCCGCCACTTCCCCCAGGAAGGCGCTTCTCCCCGCACTGCCAAGCTCCGTGCAGCCCTAGGTAGAGGCATCGGTCTCTCATCTTTTCCCTCCCACAGGACCTTAAAACCTTCTCCTGGATGAGAGGTTATCCCTCCGCTGGCCTTAGTGAGCGAGTCCCCACTGCTTCCCCAGGGAAGCCGCTTCTCCCTGCACTGCCAAGCTCCGTGCAGCCCCAGGTAGAGACGTTGGTCTCTCATCTCTTCCCTCCCACAGAACCTTAAAACCATCTGGAGGAAAGGTTATCCCATGCGAAGTTTGGTTGCGGTAGCTCTTACAGTGTCAAAGTTATTAGCACACAAACATACAAACATTCTCCTTTATATATTATAGATGTATACACTTGGACTGAGGTGGAGATGGACTTAGGGGACAGACATGTTGAGAGTCTCTGGGTTAGGTTAAAAGTGGTTAAAAAAAGGGTGATGTCACACTAGGGGTCTACTACAAACCACATACCCAGGGAGAAGAGGTGGATGAGACTTTTTTTAAACTCACAAAATCATCCAAAGCGCAGGATTTGGTGGTGATGGGGGACTTCAACTATCCAGACATATGTTGGGAAACTAACCCAGTAGGGCACAGACTATTCAATAAGTTCTTGGACTGCATTGGAGACAATTTTTTATTTCAGAAGGCTGAGAAAGCTACTAGGGGGAGGCTATTCTAGATTTGATTTTAATAGGGAGAAACTAGTTGAGAATTTGAAAGTGGAAGGCAACTTGAGTGAAAGTACAGGCAGTCCCTGGGTTACATACAAGATAGGGACTGTAGGTTTGTTCTTAAGTTGAATCTGTATGTAAGTTGGAACTGGCATCCAGATTCAGCTGCTGTTGAAACTGACCAGCAGCGGCTGAATCGGACACGCCTGGGGCAGAGCAGCTGGAGTGCTGCTGGGTTGGTCTGGTAGTGCCGACCCTTGGCGCGGCAGGACCAACCCAGCAGCCCCCCGACTAACCAAAGTGTATAGACTCAGGAGCTTTCGAGGGTAACATGCACTTCATCAGACGAATTGGAGGGGAAATAACAGAAA